TCTTCCACAGTTTGAAGCTCAGTTTGAGACAGAATCCAAAAGGGGTATAAAATCAATTGCAGTATAAATCACTAGCATCGTGACAAATGCTCTGACATGGTATTATTGTGTGAAGATATCTACTAGCTCAGTCTGCAGAAAACTAAATTTACAACAACGGCTGGTAAAACTGCACCCTGAACAGTTAATGCACAATGCATTTAATCATTCTAATTCAAAGTGTTTACTTCAAATTATCCAATATCTAAAACATATTACATTTTCAAATGGTCAATTTATCTTGCCAAATTTAAATTGATAAACTTGGTCTTGGTCTGTTTTAATGCAATTTGAATTATCTGGTAGTCCAGACAGCATGATTATGGACGGAGTCCTGCTGGCAAGAACATGAGACTTGACCTTCTTCAAAAGATGGTACTTGAACTCAGGATGCTCCACAAATTCACCCCTCCTTATCAACATCACCTCTTTCAGCTTGACAGCTGCCACACCTCCTGTCCCAGCAACCTTCAATTCTGGTCACACGACCGTTTCTAAGTTCAATCACTTTAACACCAGGAGTTATATGTTCAGCTACCTGAGTGCTTTAACTATAACAGGTTATCTACATGTAGATTTAATGTTTCTTTCTCCAACAGCACTGCATAACCTGACAAGTATTTCCAGCATTTCCTGCTTGTACTTAAAAAATTCACTTCAAAACATTTTCACCTTCACCTTCAAGCTGTTCCTGAAAAACTACACTTTTGACCAAAGTTTTGGTCTTGTGCAACATCCCCTTCTGTGGTGCTGTGCCAAATTTTGTTTGATAATATTTGCACAGTGCCTTGAATTTATTGCACAAGAATCATACAGAAGTTAGTATGTTTTGCTTCAACTCTACAGACGATTGGTGAGGCCACAAATCAAGTAATGTGTACTGTTTTGGTCTCTTTGCTCAAGAAAGGATCTAATAGCATTAGCAGTTGAGAAGTTTCATCCAACCAATACGAGACATGAAGAATGAGAGACGACCCTATTAAAACATTCAAGGTCCTGAGGGGAAGTGACAGACTGGATGCTAACAGGATGTTTCTCATTATAGGAGAGAGATTAGTTAGAACATATGAAAATGAAGGGACTCCCATTTAAGGATGATTTGAGAATCTTTTCTCAGAGGGTTTCAGATCTGTGGAATTTTCTTTCCCCAAGGAGCAGCAGAGGCAGGAACACTTCCTTTTTTTACAGCTCAGTTAGACGGACTCCCTTGTTAATGAAGAATTTAAGAATAAAGGGGATTGCCAGGTAAGTGGAGCTCGGGCCACAATCAGATAACACTGATTGCAGTAAATGGCTAAATAGGTTTAAGGAATTAAATGGCCTATTCCTACTTTTAATTTATATGGTCAAGTACAGGTTTGTAAGATTTGAAAGTTAAGTTATTGCTGCTGTCAGATCACCAAATATTTTTCATGCTAACAAGCCTAAAATCTGACAGATTGCATTAAGATTTCTTGCAGACAGTTTTTGTTCAATAAGCATGAAACCGAAAGAATTGCAGAAGCATAAGTCCATCTAGCTTGCCACATAGCACATCAAGTTATTATCACTCGTGCAATTATGTCCATGGGGTTATTGTGCGTTTGTCCTGCTAAGTGCAACATGAAGTGCTTTGATACCATGTTCACATTTTCAGTAATAGGGAATTTTGCAATGATCCCCATGAAGGTAATACCCCTTGTGAATATACGTTGTCATGTCAGCAGATCAAAACCCTGAATCACCAGAAGGTGAATTTCAATCACCAATGATTTCAAATCTGAGACATGTAATTCAGTGACTGTCTGGAAGACCTGTGTCAATTATCCTCAGCCATCAAGGAAGCCCTGGAAGGTCACACTTGATGGGAAGCTGTAATCAAGCTTAAAAGAAAAAGTAGAAAAAGGGGGAAAATGCACTGCAAACTGAACTGCAATCTCCTGTTAGCGAGCCCAGACTGTGAATATGCTGTTTTTCCTTCCATCAACCAGGACAAAAATTAGGTTTGTTTTTCTCACCTTTCAAGAATACAAAAAGCAGGGGTTAAAAAGCCACTTCCAACTCCAGTCTGAGAACACTAATCAATGAAGGTGTGTGTGTGTTGAGGCTCACAGTTGAGAAAATCCTTAGTTATGTTTGTGTTACAAGTAAAAATAAAGTTTCTGCTTCGCTCTGCTGAAAACAGTAAGCAAATGAAACTGCACCCAAAGAGAAACAGGGCAAAAGGACTTTCAACTGACCTGCAAAACCAACCATCTCGAAGTCAATCGCTTACCTACCAAAATCAACGTTACCACTATCACCCATTTAAGGGTCACAACATCCCATTATCTATACTTCAGAGGACTCGGGCAAATCCCTACCTCTTTTAGAGTTATACAGCACAGAAACAGACCCTTCGGTCCAATTTGTCTGTGCCAACCAGATATTCTAAATTAATCTATTCCCGTTCCCCTGCATTTGGCCCATATCCCTCCAAACCCTTTCTATTCGTATGCCCATCCAGATGCCTTTTAAATGTTGTAATTGGCCCTGTCTCCACCATGTCCTCTAGCAGCTCATTCCATACGTACCACCATCTGTGCGAAAAGATTACCCCTCAGGTCTCTTAAATCTTTCCCATATTACCCTCGAGCTTTGGACTCCCCTACCCTAGGAAAAAGACCTTGACTATTCATCCTATCCATGCCCCTCATGATTTTATGAAACTCTGTACGGTCACCCTTTAGCCTCTGACATTCCAGGGGCAAAAAGCCCCAGTTTTTTTTTTTAAGATAACATAGGTTTGAGGGCAAGTTTGCCAAATGGATACAAAATTGGCTTAACAGCAGGAGACAGAGATGGTAGAGGATTGTTTTTCCAACTGGAGGCCTGTGATCAGCCGTGTTTCACAGGGATCAGTGCTGGGTCCACTTTTGTTTGACATTTACATAAATCATTCAGATGAGAACATAGAAAGCATGGTAAGTTAGTCTGCAGATGACACCACGATTGGTGGTATAGTGGACAATAAAGGTGGTTACCTGAGATTACAAAGAGATCTTGATCAACTGGATCAATGGGCTAAAGAGGGTCAAACAGAGCCTAATTTGGATAAGTGTGAGGTATTGCACTTTAGGAAGTTTGTTTTACCACCAATCCTGGTGTCATCCACAAACTAACATAACATGCTTTCTATACTCTCATCTAAATCATTTATATAAATGACAAAAAGTGGACCCAGCACTGATCCCTGTGGAACACGGCCGGTCACAAGCCTCCAGTCCAAAAAAAATCCTGTTTTACAAACAAACTTCTACAATTATTAGTATGACTTCGGGCAGTGTTTAGAACAGAGACACATTGGCGTTCACGCACATAATTCTTTGAAGTTTGCATCACATATAGATAGGGTGGTTAAGAAGGCGTTTTAGCACACTTGCTTCATTGCTCAGATGTTGGAGTGTAGGAATTTGGACATTATGTTGAGGTTGTATAGGACACCAGTGAGAACTCTTCTGGCGCTTTGTACAGTTCTAGTTGCCCTGCTACAGGAAGGATATTAAGCTGGAGAGGGTTCAGAAGAGATTTACCAGAATGTTGCTGGTAATGGAGGGTTTGAGTTGAGGGGAAGCTGGATAGGCTGGGACTTTTCTCACTGGAGTGTAGGAGGTTGAAAGTTGACCTTATTGAGGTTTATAAAGCAATGAGTGGTGTAGATAATGTGAATGGCAGGTGTCTTTTCCCTAGGTGGGGGATTTCAAGACTAGGGAACATATTATTAAAGGGAGGGGTGAAAGATTTGAAAATGACGAGGGACAATATAAAAAAAAAAACAATGATTCATGTATGATATGAATGTCCAGAGGAAGTGGTGGATGCAGGTACAGTTAAAACATTTAAAAGACATTTAGATGAGGTCATGAATGAGAAATGTTTGGAGGGATACGGGCCAAACGCAGGCAAAGTGGGATTTAGTTCAGGATTATGGTCGGCATGGACTGGTTGGACTGAAGGGTCTGATTCCATGCTGTATGAATCTATGACTCTATCCATCATCTCCCTATTGCACAAACCCTCCAAACCTGACAACATCTTTGTAAATCTTTTCCGAACCCTTTCACATTTAACACCAAAATTTCCTCTAGCAGGGAGGCCAGTCTTTAATATTGGCTTTTTTTTTGGGGACTCACCTCTCATTTCTAACCTGTATCTATGCACTGCTTTATTAGATACTAAATACAAGAAATAGTAAACTCACGCTATATGTTGACTCAACAAGACTTGGTTAAACAGGCTTCTTTTAAAAAAACAAACTCATTTGGTCAGGGGAAAAGACATCCAGAAATTCATCTTATTGCAATCAACCGAGGGGAGTAGCAAATAAAGGGGAGTCAGTTTAGGACAGTCAGTGGACTCGTGGGGCACAACTGTCGATCCACATTTCCCAGTTTAACCAGTAACACAAATGTTAAATAAAATTAACTGAAGGTAGACAGTGATGAGTAGGATATAGCATTAAAAGCTCACATTGGGGTCAAACAGAGATTGTTTAAAGAACTAGTTCTGCCTGAGACTGTGGGCACAGAATGCAAGTAATTAATAACAAAGGACCTGGAGTTTGTGGTGTGAACAGAGGAGGATGGTTTCAGTCTTCTAAACACTCAAATGAAGGGCAGTCAGTTCTGAGGAAGGATCATTGGACCTGAAACGTTAACTGTTTTTTCCTTCACAGTCGCTGCCAGACCTGCTGAGCTTTTCCAGCAACTTCATTTTTGTTGTTGTGGCAGTCAGATATTTCCCAGCCCAGGAAAACAGGAAAGGAATAATTTGTGGGTTTACTACCAATCGCTTCATGGCTTTTCTCAGAGCAGCATTAGTGTAGTTGTACATGTATATAGCCTGTCCATCATAAGAAATCAAGACACTTTAAATATAATGATAAACAGTTTTGGATATGAAATTCAATATTACGATGTGAGAGAGAAGAAATAAAACCACAGTTGGCCATGTAACAAATCTGGAATTTTATTTCATCCCTTTTCAGACACAGTAAAATCTTGAAGATTTAAATGTAAAACTGTACACTGAAGAATTAAGCCCAAGCAGTGAGGGCAATAAATTAAGCACATCCCCCACATTTAGATTTAAGGAAACTGTTACAGCTCATCAGTATATTTATTCGAAGCATAAAAATTACTTTTGTGAATTGTTCTGTCTTTTTATCTCTTCATAGGACTTTAGAAATTTCAAGTCTTCATTCTTGTCATACAGGTGTCACCCTTGGTTCAGCGGTAGCATTCTATTATTCGAGTCAGAAGGTTGTAGATTTAATCTTCACCCAAGGGACTTGAGCACATAATTTAGACTAGTACTTAAAATGAATACTGAATTCAAAAGTGTTGTCTTCCAGATGAAAGATTAAACCAAGGTCCCATACATGCCTTTCAGGTTGGGGTTAGAAGACTGCACTAACTTATGAAATAAAAACAGAGAATGCACAAAATATTCCGATCAGGTAACATCCATGGAGAGAGAAAGAGAGAGGGAGACAGAGAGAAACAGAAGTGTTTCAGGTCGGTGCCCTTTTGTCAGATGAAAGGTGGAGTTCTGCCAGAAGGTAATCGATCTGAAATATTAACTCTGTTTATGTCTCCATAGATGTTGCCTCACCTGAAGTCTTTGCAGCATTTTCAGCTTTTATTTCAGGCTTCAAACATCTGCAGTATTTGGGTTTTGTTTCCACCAATTTATTGTTGATATATTCGTTCTTCAGATCTTCCATGATCTAAAAAGACCAACAAGGATTCTGCAAGAGTAAGCAGTTTAAATCAAAAAGCAGTTGAGGAACCATTGCAACAATAACAGCAGTATTGTTCTAAGAGGATATACTAATTTGATATTTATATATTTCCTTTGATTTAAAATCTGAGAAAGAGAGACTCTTTAGGTACTTGACTTCAGTCCTAAGTTAGCAAAATGTAACGTACTGTGCTTGGATTGAACAAATGTACACAATAAAATTCAAAGTATTGAAGGAACAACCCAAGTGAGGTCTATAAGCTTTTGTTAAAGTGTGTAACAAAGTTATATCTACCTACAAATTTTCATTTCTTTGACGAAATCTATACTTTATGTCGCAGAGGTATGCCCGATGTATCAGCTATCCTATAATTTTCAAAGTTGATGAGAGATGATAGAAGTAGTCATGGCTAGGATACTTCCTTCTACTTCGGCAAGGTACTACAACTGATGTCCAACTAAACCAAACTGATTAACAGGCCTCTTCCTAACAGTCTGGCCATACTTTATAAGAGGATTGTTGCACACGCAACAATACCAACACAATAACAGCAGACAGATTGAGAATTAACAATATCCTTTACACAACCCTCAGAACCGGTTGCCCAGCTATTTAATCTCGGGGGTGTGGAGTGGCATGGAGAAGATACTTAACAACAATCCCTATCATCTATTTTGACAAACTCTCAAACACACATTTTCAGAAAATATGTTATGCAATACTGGAGGAGTATTGAGATGCTATACATGTTAAAAAGGAGAAAATGTCATTACAACAGTATATTGCATCATGCCATTTGCTTCACTCATGATTTCTGGCAATTAAACAATTCCATGAGCCTCATACTGCAACCCTTTATTGTTATACCCTTCAGATCTGAGTCTTTGGAGCTCAACAATCAATCAAAGGCCTCAAACGTTTACAAAAACTAAATGCTTCTGTTAGAAATTAAGATTTTCAAGGTTAAGTATTAAGTGTCAGATCCCATGCCACGTTGAGCATGCGGATATTCAAATTGGAACACACATCAACATACGATGGGTCAAAAATTCACCATCCATCAGCTTGAAATAAACAGAAAAACAAATATCCAAGTAAATTAGCTCCAGTACACTTGTCATCACAAAGACCATTTTTTCACATGGAAAGTATGTTCCAAAACACACTCATTTTCCCCTCACTTCCAATGTCACCTCGACAACTCCTTTGTGTCACTCATCAGTCACAAGTGCAAGACAGTCCCTGAGAAAAGTTTGTTCACTTTACCTCCATAACTTTCACATCATCCATTTCCAACACTTGCCTTCCTTTCTTTGACCTCTCTGACTCTATTTCAGGGAATAAACTGTCCACTGCCATCCACTACATAGTCATTGACTCTCTTGACTACAGCTCTTCCCAACCCATGTCCTGCAAGGATTCCATTCCATTCTCCCAGTTCCTTTGCCTACATCATATCCACTTGGATGATACCACCTTCCAAAACAGTGCTACTGACATAGCTTCCTTCTTCCATAACTGTGGGTACCCACCTAGTGCAGTTGACCGGGGTCTCAGCTACATCCGACGTAACACCTGTGCTTCACCCTCCTTGCTCCTTCCCATCACTCAATAACACAAGTGGGTCTCCCTCATTCTCACTTTCCACCCCACCAGCCTCTGCATTCAAAGAATCATTCTCCACCATTTCAGACAACTCAAGCAGACCACCACCACCACCAAAAAAGCTCCCCTGTCTGCATTTCACAGGGATGGTTTCCTCTGGGACACCCTAGTCCATTCTTCGACTACCAACACTCACCAACCACATATCCCCACTCCGGCACCTTCCCATGTAACCACAGAAGGTGCAACACCTGCCCCTTCATCTCCTCCCTGCTCACCATCCAAGGGCCTAAACAGAGTCTTTCCAGGTGGAAGTAGCATTCATCAACACCTCTTCCAATCTTGCGTAGTGTTCGCTACACCTAATGTGGCCTACTCTACATTGGGGAAACCAAACAGACTGGGTGACTGCTTTGCAGAACACTTCCAGTCCACGCACAAGCATGACCCCGACCTTCCAGTAGCCAGTCATTTTAACACACCACCTTGCTCACATGCCCACTTGTCTATCCTTACCATGCTGCAATGTTCTAGCAAATCACAGCAGAAACTGGAGGTGAAACATCACATCTTCAAAACTTGGCAGTTTACAACCTTCTGCACTCCATACGGAGTTCAACACCTCCAAATTGTGATCCCATTCCTTCTCTTTTATCTTTGCTTGTTGCATTCTTGGTCATCCCCTCTCCCCTTCCCCCCACCCCAGTGGGCCGGTCTGTTCTTTCCAGTCTGGCAGTTAGACACCATTGTTCTGCCATTCTCACATTCCAATCACAATCTGAACTAACATCTTTTCTCCTCACCCCACCACTGCCGCCCCCCTCACCCCCCAACCACTAGTGCATACATGCTGCCCCTCCACAATTCACTTGTTCTCCATGGATGCTGCTTGACCTCTGATCTCTAGCATTTTTTGATTTCAGTTCAGATTCCAGTGTGTGCAGTAATTTGCTCCTGCACTCCTTGGCATCCCTCCCCACAGCACCATAGATCAGACCTGATGTCCCAAGTACCAAAAAGTGCATCACACACCTCAAAAAAATCCTGCATCACGAGTTAGTGATCAAGCGAGCAACTGAAGTGCAAGATTAGCCCATCCAGTTTCCGGAAAAGTTTTTGGAAGCTATGTGAAGGTATGAGCTCAGAACCAAAATCAAAAATAGATGAGTTGGCTAACAGGTAAGGAATAGCCAAAAAATGTTAATACATTAAAAACAGTTAAAATTATTTGTAACCCCCATTTGAATATCAAACATTAAAAATAAAAAAAAAGTGTTCAAACTGCTTAGAAATACTGAACCGAACTATAACACTTCCAGATTCAGCGATCCCATCGTGCAAAGAAAATCTAAAAAACTGAATTAAAGAGAAACAGCTGACAAGAAGCAAAATAAGCACAGAAAGAAAGGTCACTAAAAGAAAATATCCCAACATGCAACGTTTCAATAATTCTTAAGATTGCAGGGTCATGCCCATTGTTCAAGTATGAAGTGTCATTTGGCCATTGATGTATTATGAAGAGTGTGGTAACGCAAGACCAGAGATTCCAAAGACTTGTTTCCACCATTCAGGAATGTCTCAGGGATGGTGTTCATGTGAATTCGTTTCAGCTAATTGGCAGTGATACCAAATTTTAGTGACAACTGAACTGACAAGTTTAATTCAAAATGAAAATCAAGTGGTGAGAAATATGATTTGTAGAGTTTTCTCGACTAGATGATCCCAATTGCATCATTCAGGAGTAAGTCAACCAGTTTCAAAGTGGGAACAATTCAAACAAAGCCAATGAGGTAACTCAGTTGCCTGGATGTCAGGGTTGTGATGCGAGTGGTGTTAATGGCGCAGATTCAATTCTTGTACCAGTTACTGCCACCAGAAAGACTTCACCTTCTCAATCTTGCAGGTTTAATTTTTTTTGTAAATTTTCCAAACACTGACTGGGACTACCATAGTATTAAAGATTTGAATGGTTAAAAATTTGTTAATGTGTTCAAGAAAATTTTCTTTACCAATATGCAAATGTTATGACGAGAGAAAGAGCAAAACTTCACCTTCTCTTGGGTAATAAGACAGTGATGGTAGGGGAACATTTTGGGTCTAGTGATCATAATTCTATTTGCTTTAAAATTACGGACAAGGATAGGCCTTCATAAAATTCAAGGTCTTAAACTGGAGTAAGACCAATTTTAATAGTACGAGACAAAAATTTGCCAAAAATGATTGTAGTAGACTGTTCACACGCAAAGGGACATTTGATAAGTGGGAGGCTTTTAGAAGTGTGATGACACAAGTTCCAAGTCATTATTTTTCTGTTGGAGTTAAAGGCAAGGCTGGTAGGATTGGAGAACAATGGGTGAATAAAAATATTGAGATTCTCCTCAAGAATAAAAAAAATTAGATATAGACAACTGGGTTCAAATGAATCTCTTGAACAGTGTAGAGAGTGAGTGTCAGGACATTCTTCAAAGGGAGACCAGGAAGGCAAAGAGGATATGAGATAGCCTTTGCAAATAAGGTTAAAGATAATCCACAAAGAGATTGTGTGCGTGTGAAGAGACTCTACAAGTGCATTAACAAAAGAGAGCAACATGAGAGAGACCGGGGCCCTTAAAAGATCAAAGACGTCATCTTTAGGCTGAAGTTTAGGAGATGGGAGAGGTATTAAATGAGTATTTCACGTCAGTATTTCGTGTGGAGAAAGAAGTGGAGGCTGGAGAACTCAGAAATAAGTACTGATATATTGAATACAGTTCACATTACAGAAGAGGATATAGAGTCACAGAGCTATACAGCATAGAAACAGAACCTTTGGTCCAATTCATCCATGCTGACCAGATATCTTAAATTCATCTGGTCCCATTTACTGGCATTTGGCCATTATCCATCTAAATCCTTGCTGTTCATATACCTATCCAGATGCCTTTCAAATGTTGTAATTGTACCAGCCTCCATCACTTCCTCTGGCAGCTTATTCCATACATGCATCGCCCTCTGCATGAAAAAGTTGCCCCTTAGGTCCTTTTTAAATCTTTCCCCTGTCACCTTAAAACTATGCCCTCACCCACCCTGGGGGAAATGGGCCTTGGCTCTGACTCTATCTATGCCCTTTATGATTTTTTAAACCTCTAAAATTCAACCCTCAGCCTCAAACTCTGGGGAAAATAGCTCCAGCCTATTTGGCATCAACCTCCAGCTCAAACCCTCCAACCCTAGCAACGTCCTTGTCAAATCTTTTCTAAGGCCTTTCAAGTCTCACAATATCCTTCCAACAGCAGGGAGGCCAAAATTGCACTCAAAAGTGACCTAACCAGTGTTTTGTACAGCACAACATGACTGCCAACTCCTACAACAGTCAGTGCACTGACCAATAAAGTCAAGCAAACCAAACGCCACCTTCACTATCCGGTCTACCTATGACTCCACTAGCAAGCAACATGGAATCTGCACTCAAGGTATTCAGCGATAACCTTCTTGGCTGTCCACCACACCACCAATTTTGGTGTCACCTGCAAACTTACAAACCATACCTCCTATGTTCACATCCAAATCATTTATAAAAATGACAAAGCAATGGACCCAGCATCTTTGTAGCACAACACTGGTCACAGGCCTCCAGTCTGAAAAGCAACACTCCACCACCGCACCCCATCTCCTACCATCAAGCCAGTTTTCTATTCAATTGGCTACTTCTCCCTCTATTCCATGTGATTTAACCTTGCCAACCAGTCTACCATGAGGAACCTTGTCAAACGCCTTACAGACATCCATATAGATCACATCCACCGCTCTGCCCTCAAACCTCTTCCGTTACTTCTTCAAAAAATTCAAATTGTGAGATACAATTTCCCATGCAGAGGCATATTGACTATCTCTAATCAATCACTGCCTTTCCAAAAGGATGTAAATCCTGTCCCTCAGGATTCCCTCCAACAACTTGCACACCACCAATGTCAGGCTCACTGGCCTATAGTTCCCTGGCTTTTCCTTACCACCATGCTTAATTAGCCAACCTCCATTCTTCCAGTACCTCAGCTGTGGCTATCAATGATGCAAATATCTCAGCAAGGTGCCCAGCAACCACCTGTCTAGCATCCCAGAGTGAAAAGGTACATCTGATCAGGTCCCAGGCATTTATCCACCTTTATGCATTTTAAGACGTTCAGCACTATCTACTCCGTAATATGGACATTTCAAGATGTTGCTATTTATTTCTCCCAAGTTCTCTAGTTTCCAAATCCTTCTCCACAGTAAACATGGATGCAAAATATTCATTTAGTATCTCCGCAATCTCCTGCTGTTCCACACACAGGCAGCCTTGCTGATCTTTAAAGGGACCCTATTCTCTCCCTATTTGCCCTTTGGTCCTAAATATATTTGTAGAATCCTTCTGGATTCTCCTTAACCGTATTTGCCAAAGCTATTTCATGTCCCCTTTTTGCCCTCCTGATTTCCCTCTTCTGCTGCCTTTATACTCTTCTAGGGATTCACTCAATCCCTGCTGTCTATACCTGACATATGCTTCTTTCTTATTCTTGAACAAAACCTCAATTTCTCTAGTCATCCAGCATCCCCTACACCTAACCAGCCTTGCCCTTCACCCGAACAGAAACAGAGTCTCTGGACCCTCGTTATCTCATTTTTGAAGGCTTACCACTTCCCAGCCATCCATCCATCTGCAAACATCTGTCGCCAATTAACTTCTCAAAGTTCTTGCCTAATACCATCAAAAAGTTTTTAACTGGAGGAAAGCCAATTAACTTTTAGATCTGGTCTATCCTTTTCCATTACTGTTTTGAAACTAGAAGAATTATGATCACTGGCCCTAAACTGCTCCCCCACTGACACCTCAATCACACACCCTACCTTATTTCCCAAGAGTAGGTCAAGTTTTCTCCTTCTCTAGGAATCAGAAAAATTTTCTTAGATACACAAATTCCACTCTATTCAAGCCCTTAACACTATGGCAGCCCCACTCTGTTTGGAAAGTTATGCTGGAGGTCTTAGAAAACATAAATGGTAGATAAAACTCTGGGGCCTGATAGAATGTATTCCAGGATGTTGTGGGGAAGTTAGGGAGAAAATTGCGAGGCATCTTGCCTAAGCGTTTGTATGATCAATAACTACAGGTGAGGTGTTGGATAACTGGAGAGTGGCTAATGTTGTGCCTTTGTTTAAGGGATCTAAGGAGAAGCCTGGCAACTATAGATCTGTAAGTCAGACTTCAGTGGTGCGTACATTGTTGGAAGTGATTCTAAAGATAGGATTTATATGTGGAGGGGCAAAGAATGATTAGGGACAGGAAGCATGGTTTTGTGCATGGGAAATCGTGTCTCACAAACCTGATTTGAGTGTTTTGAGGTAACTGAGAAGACTGATGAGGGAAACATTGTTTACTTGGACTTCAGTAAAGCCTTCGACAAGTTTCCGCATGATAGTCTAATCAGTAAATTAGAAATTCAGGGTGAGCTTGTCAATTGGATACAAAATTGGCTTAATGGCAGGAGACATTGATGAAGGGTTGGTTTTTCAGACAGGGGCACATGTGACTAGCAGTGTTCCACAGGGATTGGTGCTGGATCCACTTTTATTTGCATTTACATAAATGATTTAGATGAGAATCTAGAAGGAATAGTTAGCAAGTTTACAGAGGACACCAAAATTGGTGGTTTAGTGGACAGTGAAGAAAGTAATCCAAGAATACAAAGAGATCTTGATCATCAGGTCAAGTGGCAGATGGAGTTTACTTTGGACAAATGAGAGGTATTGCATTTTGGTAAATAAGGGCAGGACTTACACAATTAAAAAAGTAGGGCACTGAGTGTGTTGTAGAACAGAGAGACCTAGAAGTTCAGGTACACAAATCTTTGAAGTTTGCATCACACATAGATAGGGTAGTTACGACAGCATTTCGCACACTTGCCTTTATTGCTCAGACGTTGGAGTATAGGAGTTGGGATGTTATGTTGAGGTTGTACAAGATGCTGGTGAGGCCTCTTCTGGAGTACTGTGTCCAGTTCTGGTCGTCCTGTTATAGGAAGGGATATTGTTAAGCTGGAGAGGGTTCAGAAGAGATTTATCAGGATGTTGCCAGGAATGGAAGGTTTGAGTTTAAGAGGCTAGACAGACAGGGACATTTTTCTACCGAGCATAGGGGTGACCTTCTAGAGCTTTAAAAAGTCATGCAGGGTATAGATAAGGTGAATAGGTGTCTTATACCTAGGATGGGGAATTTCAAGACTCGGGGGCATATTTTTAAGGTGAGAGGAGAAAGATTTAAAAAAGGCACGACGGGCATTTTTTTTTTAAAAAAACCGAGTGGTTCACAAGTAGAATGAAGTTCTAGAGGAAATGGCGGATGTGGGTGCAGTTACAATCTTCAAGTCTTTTTCGGTAAATGAATAAGAAACGTTTGGAGGAATATGGGCCAAGTGCAGACTTGGGATAATTTGGGGTCATGGTTGGCATGGACTGGTTAGACTGAGGGGTCTGTTTCCATACTATATAATTCTCAGGTGACCTTCAGGTTAGACTCATCATCAGATGTCTTTCTCACTTTCTCTCGAAGAACAGCCTCGGTGACAACAACCACTTTATTCTTAAAGCCACAAAGTCTGATTGCTGTGAAATCAATGAGCTGGGGAACAGTTACAGGTTCACTGCTATCACGGAGGAAGATTTACAGATCCACTCTTGTAAATATATAGAGAAGAATATTTGGTGCCAAGAGGTACAGAATGCATTTTGGACAGCACTAATCCTTAGCGCTGCTAATTACAGAGTACGGATTTGCCATTTTGCGCCATTTTTTCTTCGCCAGTTTCCGACACTGTTCTCTATGTTTTTTTAAATTTCATATCGAGTAAAGGAAATTGGACTGGAATTAACTGAGTAACTCTTTCAAACAGTTCATGGGCTGTGGGCCAAAACGAACCTTACAGCATAGGAGGTCACGAAAGATCACTGAAGCGAGGACACAGCAAATCAAGAGTCACAAACATGCATTAATAAATATCCACTGAATGAACATATGCTACTACATTGGGTGTTCAAGATGAAATCTGATGATCTCAGCATGAACTTGAATGCAAGGAGCCATCTAATTCAAAAAATCTTGAAATGGTACATTTGAAAAATGGGCAGAACAGGTGGTGGTTACAACAGAAGTACATCATATATGGAAAGCTGTTTGCTGTGTCACATCTGCAGGTACACATCTCATGTTGAAGCAGTCAACATAGCACTTCTGTGATAGTAGAGAGGTAAGCAAAGACAGTTTCTAAAAGCACTGATCTTTGCTTCGCCTCAGTAAATTCTTGCGTTGCCACTGACAAGTAAATGTTCCTTTGTCACAGAAGTATGCATCATTGCCTTACAAAATCCACAGACTCTTGAGTAACCATCAGCTAAAAAAGTACACAGTACCATACAGTTGAGCAATGATGATCAGACAACAGGAATCATTGGTGCGGAGGAACAAAAGAACTGTAGTATGCCATTCACCCAGTGAAGCCTGCTATGCTACTCAACAAGATCACAGCTGATCACTCACCTTCCATGTTCTCATGCCATCCCTGGGCCCAATGATCTCTGGCTGTTGATTAGAGCGCAAGAGAGTGAAAGGTGCCCATCCAAACTCACCAGGGTAAAAATGCTCGGTATTTGACTAAGGATTATAGGCATCATCATGGAAATCCAATTAATTTCTTCATAAACTGCTTATTACTAATTGTTAAATGAACTTCAGGACTCGGTCAGGCTCTAGATGGTCTCCTAGAAACGGTTTTGAAAATAAAGTAATTGATCATATTTATGAAGACCTTTCTACATCCATCCTTTCACAACTGCAGCATTCAAATTTGCTGGAGGCTACTGGCCAGATTCACAGGCCAACTTCTCACCGATCTGGTGCAAGACCCACGAGTGACATTTTTTTTTTAAAAATGATTTTGTCTGAAAATACTTTTATTTTATAGGCCAGCATTTACTGTCCATCCCTAATTGCCCAGAGGAAATTTGAAAGTCAACCACTGCTGCGGGTCTGGAGTCACATGTAGGCCAGATAAGGATAACAGATTTCCTTCCCTAAAGGACAATGGTTTCATGGTCATCATTAGACCCTTAATTCTACATTCTTTATTGAATTCAAATTCCGCCATGGCTGGATTTGAACCCGGGTTCCCTGGAATATTAGTGGAGTTTCTGGATTACTAATCTAGTGATTACACCACTAAGCCATTGCTTCCTCTTGTCATGTCAGATTGTTACACAGATGATGATATCAGCCAATCGAAGAGACTGAGTACTCAGCAACATGAGAAATGCTACAGAAACAAAAAAATTTAACAGAACACTTATGACTGCCAATGGGCTAGACCGGACAACAGATAATGTGCCTATGACATTCTTGTTCTGTAACTCAAAGTGGAGGATGGGTCTGGGAACAGACACCCATTTAAAGGTTAGCAAGCAACTTGTAATTAATAACTGAAGCATCTACAAACTGATACATTTGCACATTAAAAGATAGAAGATGCTGGAGAAACACAACAGCACCTTTGGAGAGAGAAACAGAGTTAATGTTGAGTCCAGCACAACAACTCTTTGGAACTGAAAGGAGCTGGATAATGGTGACTTCTATGCTGTTAACAGAGGGCGTGGCGGAGGAGCAAGTGGAACAGATCATGATGGCGTCAAAAGCAAAAGAAAAAGGCAGTGATAACAATAGTAAATGAGAGATAAGAACGTAACCAATCTGAAGTTGTGGAATGCAATGCAGTCTTTGAAGTTGTAAAGTGCTAAAGCAAAAAATGAAGTGCTGTACCTGGAGCTTCTGGGCATCAGTGGAACATAGTAATACGCCATGGATCAAATTGTTAGGATGGGAGTGAAGTGATTGATTGAAATAGCAAGTAACTGGAAGGTCGTGGTCATTCCTATGAACAAAATGGAGGTGTTCCAAAAAGTAGACAACCAAGTCTACATTGAGGAGACCAAACGCAAAAGGAGATTGCATTGTGACTAGATTGAAAGAAATAAAAATACTGTTTCACCTGGTGGGTGCGTTTAGGACCTTGGATATTGAGGAGGGAGGTAGTGAATGGGCAAATGTTACCTGACCTATGGTTGCATGGTGTTTGTGGGGGGGGGGGGGGAGGGGATGTTGTTGAGGACGTGTTGTGAGTGAAGAAGAGTCTACTTGGGTAGAACTATGGGAAAGGCCCTTGTGAAATGCTGACAGTGAAAGACGAAGGACCATGTGTTTGGTGATGTTATCATGTTAGAGGTGGTGAAAGATGATCCTTTGAACACGGAAACCGGCCAGGTGGAAAGTAAGGACAAAGTGAACCCAATCATTGTCTGGGAGGGATGGGACAGAGTCACAGCAGAAGTACAAGAGATGGATCAGACACTGTTCAAGGCCCTTTCAACTATGATGTGAATCCACAGCAGAAGATAAGGAAGGACATGTCAGAGTCACCCCAAGGGATGGTGGCATCATCAGAACAGATGCAACAGAGAAACTGGGAAAACGGAATGGATTCCTTGAACGAAGAAGGGAGTGGTGGGGGAAGTCTCCACAGCATTTGGTTTTTGGTTTCAGATTTCCAACTTCTGTCGTATTTCAGTTTTATATATCCATTAAGATACATTATGTTGCATTGTCAGAAGAATCTGAAGGAAGTTGGAATGGAATTAGAAGCATGCAAAAGGGAACAATTATCAAAGGGAAATGATCATTTGTAGGCATCTGTCAGGCCCAAAATCCTGTTTTCTGACAAGCAAACATGATATAGCAAGTAATGCAGTTATTATTGTGTTAACACAAGGCAATGTCCATTAACAGCAGTGGCTCCCAAGTTTGGGAGTCAAATTGGGGAACAAAACTTTCAGATCAGTTCTCCTATTCAGTTCTTTTCTTCTTAAAACTCTGGATAATGTCATACCTAAATGTTCTATTTAAGATTTAACCAATGGTGAAAACGCCACCAATGCTTTCCAAATTTCTACTTCAACAAAATATAAAACAGGGCAATGCTGTCAAAGAGAACAGAAGACTTGGAAAACTAGTTGCTAGAACTTAAGGATTATAGCTAGTTGATACAGTGTAGTTTTTGATAAACTTAAAACTAAGCAGCAAAGTCTCTAAGTTAAAAACAAAATCAGATCATTCAATATTTTTGTGCTTCAGCTCAGAAATACCAAGCATTAAGATGACAAAAAAGTGCATTTTAATTTTCTAAAAGAACAACATAACATCTGGAAAGCACCAATATGCTTATTTTCATTTGTTCTTAGTAGGTCTCCTGCGGAATTAGTCACTAGAAGAGAGGACACGCTCGTTTTGATACAGAATATATACCATGTAATGCGATGTATGAGAATCAATGATTTTGTGACTGAATAAATTTTTATTACAAGATTTCCTTGAAATTTCAGGACTGAATTCTGCAATCATGTGTACGTGTGCAAGGCTTAGTACACATTCTTCTCTATCTAAATTTACATTAATACAGTGGAAACCGAATATAAAAATCAACTTACACATTTTAAAAAAAGTATCTGGGGCAACTATCTGTATCCTAGCTAGATGAAGAAAGAAACTGGACGCCAGTGCTTTTCTTAATAATACATTTATTTACAGAATGCAACATTGCAAACATACTACCTCAATGATGAACAGTCTTCAGTCAACCGGTTTCGAGATGTTATTACACACCTCTGGAGCAGGTGGGACTTGAACCCAGGCCTCTAGGCTCAGAGGTGGGGATACTACGAATGTGCCACTAAAGTCCCTCAACAGTCTCTATTTATGACTGCTCTTGGTGCTTAATTAAAAATGCCCTTCACCTGTGGATCTTCAAAAATAATTAATATATTATTAACCAATTCCTTTTCTCTTCAGACACAAACTCTGAGGCACACAAAAAACTGCAAACAAACCCGAGGAAACAACTCTTCCATTTTTCATGGCAAGACATCTCTCTTCTAGGATCTCCAACAATTAAGCAATCAGATAATTGGTAA